TAACACGTAGGCTCAAACCGAGCAATCAAAATAATGCGAAACAAAATAAACCCAAAAATGTTTGAAAGTTTCGTTAATATATTTTTATACATTTTTAGGGGTTGAATGTGAAAACGGGTTTGGGGACGGGCACTAACTTAAACTCCTAGAATAATAATATGGGTCTCGGGTCACCTACTTATCAGATTTTTTAGATCGTTCGTGGCAATGACTTAACATCGATAGACATTCAGCAAGTAATATATTATTAAGCATCACGAAGAAAATTATTGAATTTTGGTTTTAACGCATCATACGCTTAACAAAGTTATGAATACACAATGTTATAGTAGAACATTTCAAGAACAAAGTGCATATGAATCATAGTTATTCAGTAACGCTGTAGAAAATTATTTTTCTTCTCCTTGCGACATTTGAGCAGCACTTGCAGTAAAGTGACGAATCATTTTCCTCAACAAGAACCGTTAAAACACTCACGGACGATTGTATCATAGTGCCAAAGTCATGTATAGCACGATTCTAATACATAACCTGTAGATAGGCATTGACATACTTAATTTTTAGATGAGGGAAACCTCAATCACCTGAACATACGCTTGCCATATGCTCGTCACAGAGCCCTATTTCAGGCCTACATAAAAATTGTCCTATCAAGTAACTTAAGGTCAGAAAAGAAGAACAAAAAAATGATTTTTAACAAGGCAGAATATACCGTTATGTCGTTCTAGTTTTAAGAAGGAAGGCAAGGTTTTGTGATAAGATATTTGAAGGACAACGCATTCATGTTTTACTGTCAATTTGAAATTAGTATGCAGACTATACAACTTAAGGCATCAATAGTGTTACACTGTCTTAAAAACTGTTAAATTATAAAACCATACAAATTCACAAAACATTTGTGTGTGTATTAAGCATTTACGGTATTTTTGTTTCTATACCGCGTAAATGTGAGAAAGAATGCGTATCTAAATATAGTATTTACACATTCCTCGGGCCAATTCTAAAAAGCCTAATGTCATTCAGTAGTCAACTTTATAATAATTAGCTTGCCTATCCATAAGTTAAATGTCACAAAATTGCAGCTATCGGTACATTTCTATAGAATGTTCTTCCTTTTCCTTTTCGGACGTGTTACTTTTGTATTTGGTGTCTCTAGTTATTCTTCCGTTTTCTGTGACGGAGTCCTGTATTATCCTAGACAAATTATTAGGGCATGTGGACATTCAAAGAGGTGTGTATCTGGTGAGATATAAATGGTTTGAGCAGTATCGGCTGTCCTTAAGCGAACACACCTAAATTCATACGAATATATGGAGTTCAATAAAGGACAGCGTTCTCCCTACTGCGTATCGTTCAAATTATTCAAAATTTCAACACAAGACATATTAAATGCTGTACATCGAGGACCTGCAAATGTATATTCCGTCGCATTCCATTTTAATTTAATATGGTACCAAGACTGCCACAGGATTTTCCGTCGTTTACCTGTAGCCAGCCAATGATGAAACACTATTTTAAACGGTATGTCGGTGCATTGATCTACACGTTTCCTCAAGAGAACAAAGGTGTCATGGATAGATGATCATTTACGATAATAAATTCATAAAGCATAACGCACTCGAAGCAATGTTTACCAGTATAATTAAGTTAGACGAGTTTGGGTGGTATTGTTGTTAACGTTGATGAATTATTACTATCGACAATAACCATTATTTGAAATTCATTTATTCATGACGTTTAAAATACTGGCCATTCCCTCACATAAACTTCCTATTTAGACATCAATCTGCAAATCTTTATTTCAGAGTGCAGTTTTAAATAAATTATCAGCGTATATCTTAAATTAACAAAGCCTCACATCGGAGTAATGTACAAGACACACAAGTCAATATTCTCCTTGCAAATTTTGTCAGTCGGTTAAGGAAAATATGTCAAAAAAGATTTAAACTGCATCATGCAATGACTTTGTTGATATATTACTCTTCAGTAAATTAAAACTTTTCCTTTGTAATTATATCGATCTTCCCCCGTGCATTGAAGGTCTTTATTCACGATATAGCCAGGTGTCAGTATACTGTCGCTTGAAATATATTATTGCTAATTAAACGTTTGACCGTTTTCCATTGAATAGAAAAGTCTTTTATTTGAAGAATAAGGGGATATTTATTTTAGGGTTTCCATTTGTCTGCACGTATGAATATATTTTTGTTCGTTCCGCTGCTTTAGTCTCCGTACGGTTACTCTGCTAAGTGAGAACGGATTTTGATCAAATTTGGTTTACAGGTTAAGTTAATTTTCTTCAACCCGAGTTCAACTAGGGATATCCTTCGTTGACGTCTGCGCATAATAAGGTACTTCGTTTCTAATTGGTCAATATATTTTCCTGCGATAATTTCGCTAAATGTGCATTGATTTCAAGGTATTTGGGTTAAGAGATGCAATTTACAATCATTTAGCTTTTAGCTGCCTTAATTAACCATTGAAAGCGAAGGATATGTCCTGTCTTTAAATGACGAGAAACGTCCACCATTGTTTATACCACCAGAAATTGGAAATCAAAGACACGACATACTTTAAACATCAGCCGCTTATTTAGATCTTTTCCTACATCGAAACCAATATGGATAGCTTTCCAACGAAACGTATGATAAGTGTGATGATTTCAGTTTCCTTTTTGTGATTTTTTCCATTCTGGATAGCAACAGCCTGCATCCCAAATGTCGCAGTTAATTCGATATTCAATTGCCTGTTCCCATGTTCATTGTTTTCTTGCAAGAAATCAACTGACTGACAAATTCGTAACACGAGTTTTCAATAGATGCTGGTTGATGAAAATTATGGAAAAGTTTTACGATCGTCATAGTGATCTAATTGAAAAACATTATACTTCTTTTTGCGATATGAGGTTGGATGTGTTTGATGCTCGTTAGTTTGCCTGTTGGTTCCATTGTTGTCATTAGAGAATGTGACATTACTCACTTGAATTGACTAAGGTCACGGCTGGCATCGTCTGTAAGGTAGAAGTCGCTTACTTTTAAGAAACACTTGGTCTTATTCTCCTCGTACTTTCTCGTTGACAAGTTGGACAAGTTAATTAATTATCCTGCTTCCCAAGCCCACATTGTATGTTTACATGTCTCAGTTGATTCGATATTTAAATGTACGTTCTCAATCTCACGATTTCTTTGCAACATGTCAACAGTTGGAAGATAAACTCGCAAAGAAGAGTTTCAAGTGATACAGGTTATAGATCTTGGGAAAGTATTATGATTGTCAGAATGATCTCTTTCTATTTCCTTGTACAATATGGAATTGATCTGCCTCAATAGTATGTCTGATCAATCCGTCATTGTTCATATTGTTCCCTTTTGGGAACTTGATATTACCGATTACTTACTTTGATTGAGCAATATTTCCAGGGCATATGTCGTCAATGAAGCAGAAGACGCTTATCTTTCCGGAAGTCATGGTCCTATTTCCCGAGGCTTCTTTCATTTATTAATATTCAACCATCGTTTCATCGTTTCAAAATTATTGTATTACTGATTCCTGTTAATGTAGCTATCTTTCTGATAGATATGTTTGTACTATATATTTAGTAAACTTTTTTTTTTTTTTTAATTTTGGCTATTGTTATATCTGGCCATATATTACGAATGGTTTGCTATTTTTTCTATTATTATCATGATGAAAGAGGGGATATTAATAAGTTGTCAGTCTTGTATTGAATAACTTTTACAGGGATGTCTATTTTTAGCTCTATGATTCCCTGGCTTTTTAAGGCTTAAATGTCTATCACAGTCACTGTTGCAACCACAGAAATGGGGAATGAAGTCCATGGTATTGTTATGAATGACAGGTGAGTTACAGAGAGCCATGAATAGATACTGAAGGGGATTATATTGAAAAATATGTCCGCCACAAGTCAAACCCTAATAGCTTAAGCGATTTAAGACATATCATTTTCAGTAACACAAACAGATAATCTTTACAAATGTTTACAATATGGTAACAAACAACAAGTTAATAAACAACAAAAATGTAAACAAAAAACTTTAACAACAGTAACGAAAAATATAGACATATTTATGAAGAAATTATAAGAGAACTATTTATGCATTTATACGATTGAAATCAACGTAAACACATATACAAATAACATACAAACGATCAAACCAAGGTGTTGATGGTGTTGATGTATTTTCATCAATGTCAAGTAAGAACGTGTGGAAAACTGTCCATAGTTGCTCATCAGAGACAGTTTTGTTTACAGACAATGTCAGCGTTAATCAGCTTCTGCAGAACCAATGTGGGTATGAAACCTGCTTCCTCATCAGCTGGTCTCCAGTTAGCACCGTCGCATCATCATATCGCCGAGATACGACCAGTCAATAATTGACTTTATGGAATGTCCCTGTACTTGTACGTCTGTCAGTCATTTCTGGATTGCTGGAAGAGAAAGGCATATCGATGCTGTTTCAATAGATTTGGTCTATATGTGGACTGACCAACAAGGACATATTTTTCAATCAGATAATAAGGGCTCTGTTTGTACATATGATGACTGAGAGAATAAAAAAAATTCTCTCATATCATTTGTGATAAATTTGATGTGGCATACTTAACGATAGTTTTTTTAGTTCGGATGTTATTATCTTGAAGAACAAATCAGAAGCGAGCTACTCCCGTATTGGAATCCTTGTAGGCTGTTAATATTCTTGCTGACTCAATTTGTGATAATCTGATACATCAGAAAATTTGTTATATCGATTTCCAGTAGTTGGCCTGCTAGCTGAGGTGTGACAAAGCTCAACTACAAAGGGATAATCAAAGGGGACGATATATGTCATCCCGTTTTGGTTGCTCGTGAACAGTTAATCAAAGTTTTAAAAAAATCTAAAAACGGAATTAATTTTAACCGCTAGGAATGGAACGTACATCATAGAGACGACCTTTCAAATGGTGATGTAGCTGTCCACTGAGTACGTGAGTTAACCACAATGAACCCAAGATTTGCTGGAGTAGGAAAGCGTACAAAGATCTTCTCCCAGTGGTTATCTGCAACCACGCGAGTTCAAGGTATGGTACAATGGCATGGTCAGCCTTGATCAGTAGCTTAAAACGCACGAAAATGTGAATATTTATATTTTGGCGTGAAATGTCTTTATTCTGTTCGAAGGTTTCTATAACAATCTGTTGGTATAGACATTTTTCATATGAAAAGATATAAATAAAACAGAAATGAATTGTTTGCACCTTTTTTCATATATGACTTGAAGAACAAAACCTGTAGACTTGTATTCTAATTAATCGATATAATGTTATGTTCCTTTAAAAAACGAACACTGTTATTGTATAGTAAGATTCATATGCTTTCTACTACATTATAAAGATAAACTGATTATAGACATGATTATCAATGTATTACGCTAAGATGAAATAGTTGGAACAAACTATGTAATCATCTCAAATATTCATTCATGCGGGATAAACATTTTTGGTTATTTACAACCAGAAGTCGCTCGATATTGTTTTGAATCTGAATCTTTAACAATACGGTGTGAGTGAAAGATACTCATTAAATAACATTTAAACAGTATGCTGGCATGATTTGGAAAGCTTCACAAATGACAGGTGATATTTATTATTCATTATTCTAAATTATCTTTTTTGATAAAATCAGTATGAAGTATGGTACTATTCTGCACAATGCCAGTTCTGTTTTAGCATTGATATATGCTAACCTGGTAAATGTATTTTGTTGAGCTTAAACTGTATCTGAAAGAAATTGGGAGGAAAGTTTTTAAAGAAATAAAACAATTTTCCGAAATAAATACCGCTATTGAGTAGAAAAACCTATATCTGCTATTATGACCTGTTGTATTATTCATGAACAAATAGACAATTGTGTCATGACGAGGGTATCTATTATTCACACTTCTCCGTATAATTCTTAGCCCATGCCGTGTTCCGTCCCTGGCTTTTCACAAAGGTGACAGGATATTAATCTGGATGTAACGCAAATCGATGTATTTATCATTACAGAGATATTTAACAATCTAATCCCTCATTCATTGCAACTCAATACTTGTATGAGAAGGAAGAGATATCAGGCGCAATTGGTTTAGAGAGAAAACAAGATCCGGTATATACATATACCATATATAAAGATTGAAATTTCAACCCATGATCAAACATGCGGTAGAATTAGGAAGTTAAACATAAGCTAGTGTTGTCGCCACATTACTTGACCATTTTGTTTGCCATTGCATCATGAGAAACTTGTTATTGTAAATTCTTCTGTTATGAGTAGATATATAGAAACCGTTTCAAGTCTATAGATATAAATCTGAAAATGGTGCATACAGTTTTATTATTTTATCAGTATTGACAATTATGTTTGAAATAGTTACGGTCGTCATAGTGATCTCCTTGACAAACACTCCTTTTCTTTGTGCGTTACGTGTCAGCTGGACGTGTTTGACGCTTTTTAGTTTGCCTGTTGGTTCTGTTGTTGTGTACCTTGTTCTTATTTGAAAATGTTACATTACTAACCTGGATCGACCAATATTTACGCGTACTCTTCCGGAACACTTGGTCTCATTCTACTATACTTTTCAGGGGTTTCTGTGTAAAACTTTCCTTTTATTCACATTTCCCTTTGTTTTCTTGATTTGAGTTTGACGTAACATTGTTTTGGTATTTTGTTTTTGATTTTTTGATTTTGTCTTGTTTTGTTTGTTTGTTTTTACATCCTGTCACTTTGAACTTAGACTGACCACGAAGTGCTGTTATGATGTTTGTTTTGAGTTTGAGTATATTGACATTGAAGCCCCTTATTGTCGAACATCAATGCTCATAAAAGAAATCGCGATTTCACATTTACTCTACTTTATACAGGATTAAAGAAATCTCATCTGTTTGATTATTCCAATAAATTACACTTTGATGTTAAGTACGATTTGTTTAAAGTTAGACACACTCATGCAGACCGGTTAAGGTTGGGAAATAAATAAAGTGGAATACAATTTGATAAATCACTTGCTGACAATGTCCCGTATATTGTTTTGACTAAAGCAGGCTATATCAAGGTGAATTTCTGTTCACATTTGAGCCAGCCAATCTAGATACAATTTTTGGCTTCATGAATACTATTGTCCTTTTATTCAGATTTTTCTATTTACCCTTCTATGTCAGCGTTGTTCTGTAGGATTAATATTGCTGCATACAAGGTGGTAAATACCTGCATTTGGTTATATTAATGCTTTTATTTCCGGAAAATACATGCCCGACCCAACGTTATAAGAGGAAATCAAGATCGTTGTATAAGACTTTAGCATAAAAATTACCCAAAGGACATGGACAAGTAACGTCGAGCGTCTGACAGCATTGTGATATATACAGACGACTTCACACGGGTGCGATATTGCGCGAATCCATGCATACGAGGCAACAATCTGTTTGATCGTTTGAAATCTGAACCTTCATTGTAATACAATTGTAGCATTATTCTAATGATATTTAAGAGAGTGACATTTAAGTTCCGGCTTGAAACAGTCTTTCTAGGCGGTCATGTGACATAGAGTCTCCCAAGACGGTAATGTGACACAAGTTCCTCCCGACGGCCATTTTTATTCTGAAGTTTATCTTATCAAATAAAATTTTTCTTTTTTTGTAAGTAGAATTACAGTACATGGAATTCAATTATATAAAGCGTGCATAATACATGTCTAGCGATACAGGGGATAAAATACATTCCGCTTACGATTAAATATAACATTAATTTCATTGAAAGATCTAAATTATATATATACATACAGATTACACAGTTTTCTAATATGAAAAGATGTTAATCATACAACTGCAATGTTATCAGTGTTATAAAATGTGTAAAATATATTCATAGTGTTACTTGCATTGTGACGTCACCATAGAAAGAAACGGACGATATCGACAATTTAGACTTGTCTCATATATGTGTATGAACGTATAAGATTCGCTCTCAGTACAGACTTGTTTCAGATATTTTTATTCTTCTGTGTAACACGAACCTATTGATTAAATTACAGAATTAGAACATTTGTTCGCCTATAGTCCTACTTGATTTAACAGACTGAAATGCAGTTTTGCGTATAATTCATGATATTCTTCATTTTTTGTAAAGAATTATATAAATATGTATTAAAATCATTTGTTTAATCAACTCCCGATTTCATCTTCAATTCGGCGATGCGACCTTTTTAGAGACGTGAGTTTATTCCTAGAATATCTCCCATAATATTCTGGTGATCTGAAAACATTAAACAAAAATGACATGGCATTGACGGTGATACTGTAATCAGATCGCATCAAGCATACTCGGAGAACTATGGTTTACTTTAATTGTAAAGCGGCAAGATGGACATATACGTGTGTATCTGTACCTTCGTCTTCTTAGTAAATATGATATACACGCCTAACAGACGTGCTACTGACCGTTGTATTAATTGATATGTTCATCTAGTCATTGAAAAAGTCTCGAATAAAGGCAGTTTTATATATTGTCCCGAAAATGTTAAAAGATGCAGTACAATATATCCAAGCTTGGACAAAAAGGTTGCAAACAAACTTTCGTGTTACAAGTTTTAGATATTAAGCGATTGTTTCGGGCAGAAAAAATTCCAATCCGTTGATTTTTAAGCGCTATATTTTTGTGTGTATCTAATTCTATTTTTAAACACTTACTTTTTGCGGATATCATTGATCTTAGCGGTAAACCATTGGCGCAGTCTTAATTAGGATGCAATCCAGGAAAACACATTGAATGTTACATCAGCTGATACATATAAATTCCCTTTCCTCGCCTTTTTCATTTCTTTTTTATATAATTTAGAGACATTGTTAAATTATTAGAGGCTGCAAGACCCAACAACATTATTCATCACTTGAAACAAATTGTTAAATTTGTCGTTTCGTCTTGATTCTAACACCACTGTCTAATTGATGCAATGTATTGAATCACTAAGGAGAATCTCTCTTCTGGTCAACAATGGTCTTGTATTGATTACGACAAAGTTTACAGCGGCAGACGTTCAGAAGATTAACGAGTTAGGACTAATTTCAGGCTATAAGGGTGCTAAGTGTTAGGTCGGGGGTGTTGATTAATCACTAGTAATAACATGTGATATTTACAAGCTAGGGAGCGCTGCCAGAGCTTCATGTTCAATCGTTCCTATCAACGAAGGTTTGTGTTGTAAAGTTAACAAAGGCGATTATGCAGCTAGCAGGTGTCATGTAAATAAATAGTTGGTGATGGTTTTCAGAAATTTCATTTTGAAAACAAAACGCATATCAAATTAATTGTAGCAATTTAAAACATAAATATGAATATGATTACTGAAAAACTATATATTACCGGTGTTTATGCCTATATCACAACTGCGTTCTCAAGTCGAACTGATTTTAGGATATATAACAAAGAGTATATTACCTCTGCTTTAATTCAACAACAACTCACGTATCTCTATCTCCTGTCTTAGAACCATTATACATTTTATGTACTTCCCTGTTGATTGATCGACAAGCCTCCATCATTCCGTCGATCAGTCTTGTAGATGTTAAGGACGATAATCTGATGATCATCAATTATTCAGGTAATTTAGAATTAATCTCTTAAGATTAGGTGATATAGGTTTGAATCTACTGAAATCCGAATACATCTCGGACATATAAGTTCAGAACATCTAATTGGACAGTAACATGCTATTTTCAAAAACTGTTATAAGTTGCGAGGGACCTATACCATAAATCAAATTAGCTTAATGTATATCCCTGCTACAATCTTTTATGTAACTACTACCAAAGGAGCATAGCATTTGATAGAATATCAATCGATACTAACGGATTTGTATAATTCATATGTGAATGTGATACAATTTATTTCAATGGTGTAAACAGCGTAAATTGAAACACATCTTGATATTCAAATAAATTTTGCTTAATGGTTCTTTCAGTCTTCATATGACCCTCATTATGATTGTCTCCTAAACATCCGTTTTCATATGGCCCTGGCTATTAGTGTCTCCCTAATCATCCGTTTT